TTTTCCAAAGGTCGAAAAAGAAATTAAGGCAAAATACCTAACCACTCCATGGATTACCAAAGGTATAAGAAAATCGTCAAAACAAAAACAAAAACTCTTCATAAAATATCTAAAAAGTAGAAACGACATTAATTTGTCTAAGTATAAACAATATAAAAATCTATTTAAAAAAATAAAATCAAAATCCAAAAAACTATATTTTTTAAAGCAAACGCAAAATTTTAAAAGAAATAATTTAAAAATCTGGGATATTATAAAAGAAATAATTGGTAAAAATTAAATAAACTCGAACCAACTACCTCCAAAAGTTCTCATAAGTGAAAAAGAGTTTATCAATAAAAAAATTATTTCTGAAAAACTTAACAAATATTTTGCAGGTATAGGTCCCAAACTTGCCTCTAAAATTCAACCTACAAACAATTCATTTGAGAATTACATCGAGGACTCTTGTTGCTCCCTAGTTTGTAAAGAAGTAGAATATGAAGAACTTGAAACAGCAATTAAAACATTAAAAATTAACAAAGATCCAGGTATCGATAATATCCCAGCCAATATAATTTTGAATGTCTTCTGAGGAATAAGTAAACTCATATTTCAAATATCTAACTCTTCAATAATAACAGGAATTATTATTTATTATACCCGACTATTTAAAAATAGCTAAAATTATTCCTATCTATAAATTCGGTGAAACATCCTCCTTAAATAATTACAGACCAATATTAATCCTTTCCATATTTTCAAAACTACTCGAACGAATAATCTACCATCTTTTATATAAACACCTAACCACAAACAAAATCCTGAATGAAAACCAGGATTAGTGCAGTGGTCGGTACCATATTTTCAAAGGAGCTCACTTGCAAAACTCTTGTTTTAGTTGCGGCCCACAGCAATTAATAAATTATATACAAAATATACTATACTAACTATATAATATAATATAATATAGAATTAGATTAAAGAACTAATAATTGTATTATTACTATGATAATTGTATCATTACAAAATACATACTTAAGAAAAAAAAAACAAAAAAACACAATTAAAAATTTGGTGAGTATTTTTTTGTTGCAGCTAGCACAAGGTCATTCAAATGAGTGTCAGTCTTGTTCTGCAAACATTTTTTATAATTTTCATGGCTTAGAATGTTTGTTCAAATTGGTAACTAGTGCCATACATACAGATAAGTCTATTTGCATGTTTTTTAAGAACTGGAAAACGTTCCTTCATAATATCATGCCAGAAAATAATTAAATTTTCACCAAAAGTGCCATCTTCATCTTTTTTTGGTGCCTTTCTTCTCAACTCGTCGTCACATTGAAAATTAATTAGTTCATCCTCTGCTTTTAAAATATAAACTTCTTCAAAGTCCTTTAGAATACTAATATCATTCATATCAAAGTCAAATGAATAACAAAAAAATACCATATGCCTTTTTAAATATTCAAATTCGTTAAATCTGTTATCAAATTGATCATACAGAGCAGTCACTATTAATGAGAATGACGATAACATTTTCCTTAATGGTTGTCATTCAGTTAAAGGAGGAAAATGAGCACAATTACCAGATGCAAAATGAGTTTTGTACTAATTAAGTTTTGTCTTCATCACAGTGATGTGGTTGATCAAATCACAAACCAGCACACGGCGGCCTTGTAATCTCTTATTCAGAACATTGAATTGTGCTGTGATGTCGCGAAGAAAAGCCAGTTTACTCTTAAATTCTTCAATAGACATTGTAATGAATGAAAATTTTTGAGTTACCATGAACTGCAGTACACTTGGCAAACAAAATCTGTCAAGAATCTTTCCTCTTGATAGCCACCTGACCTGCAAAAAATAGACAAACTTATTTATGCTTGAAAAATGACTAAAAAGCCCACAACTATACTACTTTGTACAATATGCGGTTGGGTGGCATGGGACCCACAAATAATGTAGCAAAGGCCCACAATTTGCCGACCCCTGGATTAGTGAGTCAATCTGTGAAAAGAAGTTCGTATAAGAAGTATTTGTAGACTTGTAAAAAGCGTTTGACACAATAGATCATTAAATCCTACTAAAAAAGTTGGAAAAATACGGATTAAAAAACCATTCACTGCAGTGGTTTAAAAGCTACCTGTATAACAGACAACAGTGTGTTATTACAGATGATAATTACCACACTAAATTATTAAAATTAACTTGTGGTGTTCCCCATGGTTCGATTCTTGCTCCTCTTTTGTTCCTAATTATATAAACGACCTTCCAAAAGTTTCTAGCAAACTTGAATTTATAATGTTTGGGACAAACATCAAGGATCTGTATGATAATGTAAACATGGAACTCCAAAAATTAAATATATGGTTTAAAACAAATAAGTTATCCCTAAACATAAAAAAAGTAAAATACACTTCATTTCATTCAAACCAGCAAAGAAACATACTATCAAATATTCTACCCTCTCTAAAAATAGAAAATATAGTAATTGAGAGAACTCACGAAAGAGAACTTTATCTTGGAAAGCTCACATAAATGGTTTAAACACTAAAATATCAAAAAACATAGGTCTACTTTATAAAGCAAAATCTATGCTGTCGCAAAGTAATTTAAAACTTATATACTTCTCTTTTATACATAGATACCTCATATATGCGAATATAGCTTGGGCAAGTACACATATAACCAAATTGAAAACTTTATATCGACGTCAGAAACATGCTATAAGGCTAATCTATCATAAAGACAATTTTACACACGCTGAACCATTATTTAAAGAAAGATTATGTACCTAATATTTATCAAATTAACATTTACCAAAGTATATTGTTTATGCTAAAATTTAAATTAGGTCAAATACCAAACCATTTTTTAAATAACATTTTTGTAAATAACGTTAATAAATATAACACAAGTAATACAGGAAACTTTATAACACCTTTCAAAAAAACAAAACTCTCCCAGTTTTTAATTTCATATCGGGGTCCTTCTTTATACAACAAACTAGTAACTAAAAATAAATCAATTTGTAATCCAGATAATCAAAATTCCTTGAAAACAAAGTTAAAAATCTGATACTGAATCTAAACAGATACTCTGAATTCTTCTAAACCTATAAATTTAATTACATATATATCAACTACAAAGTGAACTGACTCGTTTATGTGTGTTATCTAAATGACTCTTACCTTTCCCAAACAATATATCAAAAAATTATTTATTACACACACACAAAAAAAAAAAAAACACTTGATTTTTTCTTATCAATTTTAGTTATTATGCTGCTTGTTATGTTTAATTTTTTATACTGAGCTTATTTTGAGTTTTTTTTTTATTATGAGCTTAATTTGATTTAAAGACTATAAAAATATAGTTGTACTTAATATATAATTATATTTAACATAATTATAATATATATCAATCACATTGTAAGGGCTTCGTGATAAGATCATTACGATCTTCGTGAAGTCTAGCCCGTACTATTTTATTATAAATTTCACTATATATTTTGACTCACGAGACTTGTAAATATTACACCTTTAATTTACGAAACTTGTAAATGTTATATGTAAAATATTCTAACAATAAAATTTGTAAAATAATTTTTTTATAAATTTTATTTGTATTTATTAAGTTATATAACTTACTACGGCAACAAAAAAGAAGAACGGACGGAGAAAAAATAATTTAATTCTGAAAAGTTGAAAACTAAACCTGGAGATTAATTATATCTTTTTGACTTACAATAAGAAATAGATTTTAAAAAAATCCATCTTCTACACCTCTATGTTTGTTTTCCAAGCTTTCTTAGCTAGAAATAAAAAAGAAAGAAATAGTTTTTTAAGAACTTTAAAAGAATATAAAGTTATAAAACAAGAGTAAAAAAAAAAAAAACAATAGAAAAAAGCAAAAGTAATAAAACAAAAATAATAATTTTTTTTTTTTAAAAGGAAAAAAAAATTTAAAAGATAATATGTTGCCTATTTAAGTAAAGCTTTGATGTAAATTATGAACAGTGTTTACTCTTAAAAAAACAGAGCCTTGTGATACACCACTTGCATCATCAACTTTGTCAAACATATGATCTTCAAACACTACTCTCTAAATTTTAGTTTAGAGAAAACCTGTAATCAAACTGTAAAGATTTCCAATAATTCCATAAGCTTTTTAACTGGTGAATTAATAAGGCGAAAGAGTTTGAGTCATATGCCTTCGACAAGTCCATATATATATATATATATGATATCTACTGTATTTTTGTAAGCAAAGCTTGTAATTAGATAGCCGTTTGATTGAAATACATTACAAAAAAAATTTTGAGGACCAGGCACAAATTTTGTTTTGACAGATGATTTACAGTTCTATTGCTTACAAACTCTTTACTTTACAAACCAAAAGAAACAGGTGGTATATGCAAGATTTACTGGTATCACTTTTTATCACCAAAGTTTGGTATCACTTTTTATCACCATTTTTATAGTCTACCGTTAGCTTAGAAAAGGGTTGTTTTTTTATATTTTTCAAGTCTAAAATATAGATTTGAAATTATTTATTAGTTCTTATTTAAACTAAAATTATTTTATATTTAATAATAGAAAATAAACAGAAAATTATATGTGAAAATAGTACGCTTCATTTAACATAGACGTTATATTTAGTCTTGCTTCTCCCTTTAGCATTGTGTCGTGCTTTTTGTTTAAAATTGAAATTAAAGTCTGTATTTTATTACTATAGTTTTTTAGCTTGGAACGTAAATAAAGGTCTGTTTTTTGTATTTTAACTATTACTTTTGTTTGAAATGTTATTTTAAAATAAAGTAACAACTACGCCGGTATCATTTAAAATTGATTATTAGAAAAATGATATTTAAAAGCATTGAAATTTGTAGGCGCTTTCAATTAGCAATTTTAATGTGCAGCGTAGTAAAAAATTAGATATGCGTAACACAATAACTGCTTTTAAGTTTCGTGTGGCGCATTCACTGAGCCTGGTGGGTACAAAATTTTGTAAATTTTTTGTTAATTGTTGCTGTATTCAACAATGGTTGCTTAAAATAAAAAATTAGAAGAAAGTGTAAGAAATACAATTTTTTTGTTCTTTTGATCGCTACTCGTATTGTAATTCTGCACTAACGTCATTCTGTATAAAAATACTAAAATATAACCAATGCCAAAACAGTTGGACGGGAAGTGGGTAGGGGAAGAGGTGTGAAATATTTTTTAATAATTAAAATATGTATTTTATTTACTTTTATCACTAGAACTTGCTGAATTTATTTTTCTAAACGATTTATTTGATGTATGTATGTATGTATGTATGTATGTATGTATGTATGTATGTATGTATGTATGTATGTATGTATGTATGTATGTATGTATGTATGTATGTATGTATGTATGTATGTATGTATGTATGTATGTATGTATGTATGTATGTATGTATGTATGTATGTATGTATGTATGTATGTATGTATGTATGTATGTATATAGTTTATTTAACAAGGTTTATACTTGATATATACCTTTTTGATAATTATGTCAAAGTGTGAAATATAAGTAAACTCACTCAAAAAATACAACCCAATTTATAAAAAGTCAAATTATAAAAAAGTTTGTTGATAAATCAAAAAATAATAAATAACTGAAAAAAACTCATTAAACTTTACCAAATAAATATAGTTAAAATTTAAATTTGTCTAAAAGTATAAAACCTATGCTGAAAATGTAAATTTTTTTTATTTTTTTAAGAAAATAAAGATCTCGGAATAATTGCAATAATAATTGCAATATATATATATATATATATATATATATATATATATATATATATATATATATATATATATATATATATATATACATATATATATATATATATATATATATATATATATATATATATATATATATATATATATATATATATATATATATATATATATATAAATTTGTTTTCCAACTTATTTTTTTTCTTAAAAATCATATAATGCGGTTACTTTTTTCTTGTCTGTTCATTTTTTTTTAGCGAAACCAGGCTAAGTGTTTACGTACACATAACTCCTTTTTCTAAATTTATTTCTTAAAAACTTATAAAATGGGAAGATGTTTTTTGAATTGACAAGAAATTTAATCTTTAACAACATAAGAATTGCAATTTTTCTCACTGGACAGAAATGGCAACAAACAGCAAAGACCATGTTACATTTGCATTCTAATGTTAATTTACTCTTACACGCCGATACATCAAAAAATAAAAATAATTTTTTTTAGTTTTCAACTTTCTTTTTCAACTTTTTTTTTTTTTTTTACCACGCTTGAAGATTTTTCATAAGATACGAAAAATGTTAAGATAAACTTTTATTAACAACTCTATAAACGTTACGGTGGTTACGTACGTGGACAACTCTGTAAACGTTACTGAAGGTTTGTCATACACAGATTTAACTTGTAACATTTGAAATATAAGAAAACTTAACTTGCTTGTTGTTTGATTTCAAAGTTTGTTTTTAATTTTTATTAAAACAACACTTAAGAACTTCTTCATAAATTGGAAATTTATTTACAAATAATTCCATGAAAGGATCAAAAATTACGCAGTTAAATTTGCTACGAGTAATTTTTTTATACATAGTCATGGCAGATTGCTTAACATAATCAATTATTCAAAATAAAAATATATTAAAATGAGTTAATGTGACTGTACATTGTGAGAATTCTCCAATGCAAACCTTATTACAAAAATTATAAAAATAGAACATTTATTCAAGTGCTCAAGTACGAAGCTCTAGACTTTAAATAATCGTATTATTTATTTTTTTGCTTAAACTTTAGGTACTCTTGAGGCAAATTTTTTGTGGTATAGCAATCAAAAATTAAAAAAACCAATCATCAAGAATTGCTCCTAAATTAAAAACTCAATAAAATTCCAATACATTCTTAAAAACGTAACTACATGAAATTAAACAGCAAATTTTAAAACGTAAAGTTTAAAACATGAAAATATGTCAGGAAACAAAATGGTATTTTTAAGCTTACTCTTCAATACAAGCTCCATTCTAGAAAAAAATATTTCTAAATGGAAAAACTTGTTTCTAATTTCCTATTCTAATACTATTACCTTTGTTTAAAATAACTGTTTATATAGATTTTTGAATAGAGTTCCACAAACCGGACAATGCGCAAAAGCGGTCACTTATCGAAAAAACTAAACATAAAGATATTTGCAAATTTTAAAAAAAATTTTAATTTTTAGTGCGTGGAAAATTATAAAATTCCAAAAAAAGTTATTAAAATGATTGCTTTAATGAGATATTTAAGTTCAAACAAAACCTAAGCCTAAAAATAAAACTTTTTTCGGAAATTAGGTTTTTAGCATGAAAGATTTAAAAAAGCAATTTAAAAACAAAGAAAGCGATTTTATTGGAAATTTTCTGTTAACTTCAAAAATAGTTTTTGAATTTCATAGTCTTAAACCGCTAAAAAGTTATAACAGAAATAAGATTTTCTTTAGTTTTCACTTTAAACTGGACACAATAAATTTATCCTATAATCAATTAAAAGTTTATAGGTTATTCTGTTTATTATTTTTTCACTCTAATTTAATTTTTTTATTATGCTGACTAAATTTTTTTTCATTTGGGATTTTTAAGTTTTTACACTTTCATGATAATTAGTTTTGTACTTATTTACTTATACTGTTGAATTTAAAGTGCAAAAGTACACAAAGTAACCACAAAGTTGTTTCGTTTCTTCAATTTCAAAAATTTGTAACAGAATTGAATTTACTAAACTTATAACGGCAAAAAATAAAACAAATGAGAAGCCTTTTACTGAGGAGAAAATAAAAAACGCGTTCATAAAGATTGAAAACGGCGAGTTAAGCTTAAGAGGCATAGCTCAATTCTACCGTATACCAAAATCAACGTTATCCGACCGAAAATCAAATAAGACTTTAGTAGTTGGTAGTGGCAATACAACAAACTTAAATCTTTTTATTGAGTTAACCTTAGTTCACCTTCTTCAGATGCTTGACGATAGGGGATTTGATAGACGAATAAACTACACTGTTCTCAATTGTGTTAATGCTGACGAACTCCTTCTACCGCCTTTTGTTGTTTACAAATCAAAGAATCGACTCTATGATGATTGGATTAAAGGAGGCCCACTAAACACACTTTACAAAATATTACCATCTGGTGGGATGGAAAATTATCAATTTTTGCAGTGGCTCGATGAAATGTTTATTCCTCAGATTCAAAAAATTGGCAGTCAACATATTTTACTTTTGGATGGCCACAGCACACATGAGCCATTAAGTGTAGCCTTAAAATGTGAGGAAAACAATGTAACACTAATTTACATTTCCGCCAATTCATCTCACATTCTGCAGCCTCTAGATGTAGCCTTGTAAATATATATCATAAATTTAGCCTTATAAATATGTATCATACCCTTTATACTATATAATGGTACTAATAAATCGTTTTTGAGAAAAAACGAATATTTTTGGCTTAGTAGGGCAGTACAGTTAACAATAATACTGTCGTTATTTTGTAGAATGCACTCAAATAAAAAAATTATTTGATTTTGAATCAAAGCAATTACTATCCTATTATTAAAATCTTAATTATATTGTATGGTAACTTGTATAAGATTATCTTATTTTACAATAATTAACGCAATTTGTAAATGCAATATTGATATCTTACGCTATTTCTAGATGAAATATAAAACAGATCTATTTGATTTTGTAAGTATATATTTATGAACAGACATATATTTGTGTGTACGTGTGCATATTTGTGTATGTGTGTGCGTGCGTGTATATTAAAAATAAAAGTAGAATTAGATAGAGAATTAAAAAAATAATAATAATGAGAAGAAATAATTAATTTTTTATTTTATTTTTTTCTGTAAATAGTAAATTGTTTTTTAAATCAGTTCTTGCTTTAGTTTCTTTTTTCCTTTTTCATTTTTGTCGGCTGAATTTTTTAGTTATATTAACGGATGATAAGACCATGTCTTCTCCCAGCTCCGGTCGAAACTTTAATGTTACATTTTTTATGTTGTAAAAACATTGTAAAAGATTATTTTTTAATGACAAAAAAAAAAAAAAACAGAAAAAAAACAAAAAAAAACTGGTTGTTTCTGGATATACAGACAAATTAGAAAGTATATTTTTTGTTTAATTAAAAAAAAACTTATACAAAAATTTATTTAGAATAAGTAGTACAAACAATTTTTTAAACAAATAATCCTTATTAATAATTTAGTATATTACGGAAGAAAATGGTTTTAAAGAAAAAATAACAGTTTTATAAATAAAATAACTAATACACTTATTTTATAAATAACACTTGTTTTATAAATAAAATAAGTGTTAATCACATTTAAAAATATAAAGTTGTAATGTTTGAATTTAGTTTAAAAATGTTTAAAAAAGCATTTTAAAACAAAAAATATTTCGCAAAAAATAAACATTTTTACAGGTTTAATTTTTTGAACTATTTAAGTTTTGAATTTTAAAAATGGTATCAAGTTGCGGATTGTATTCTAGTGAAAATACCCATCTGTTGTATATTTTGTAGAATTCTTTATTTATTTCGCTCACGTTTGTTTAATTAAGTGTTTATTCTATGTTTGTTGAAATCTACTGACTTACTGTGATAAAATGAGCATTCAACCATAATAGATAAATGATAAGTATACCTCCTTGCGTTTAAGTTAAACGCCTAATGTAAAATATATAAAATTAAAGTATAGACGGGGGTTCGTTTTTAATAAACAAAATATATGTTGGTTGAAAATTTAGCAGTTGGCATGCTTAATTAACCTGAATAAAAAGTAAATAGAAATTCTAAATAAAATAACAAATTATGTAATGTTTGGGGGCACGGTCACTTCTTTACAAGTAGTTTATAAGATAAGAGTCTAATCAAAGTAAAGATTCATTTTGTTAATTTAATAAAATTATAGCAAATATTTTTTACAAAAAAAACGTTATGATTTAATAATCCCTCGCAATTACTTACTAAAATTATTTGATTGTTGTTAATTTTTTTTTTTTTTTAATTTTTACTTGTGTTTTTGTTTTTATATCAATAAAGTGTTTTAAAATGTCTTAGTTGAATTTGCTATTCTGGTTGTTATATAATTTTAAACTTCTAAATAAAACGCTTCTTTTAAGACAAATATGAATATTTTTGGAACAATTTCGAAATGAGTGAAAGCGTTAAAGCAATTGTACGTTGCCGTCCACTTAACGAAAGAGAAATCGATACAAATGTTGATATAGTAATTTCTGTGGATCCATTAGAACGACAAATCACTCTATCTCATTCTAGTAGTGATAATTATTTTAAATATTTTTCAGTTGTATTCACTTCTTTTTAAAGTATTAAAAAAATACCAATTCTCATTAGCGTAATATTTACACATAGAAATATATTTTTTTAAGCCATTAAATTTACTTTAGACAATGCCCAACGTTCATTTACATTTGACCACGTTTTTGCCACAGACGCTACTAATGAAGAAATTTACAACGAAGCTGTGTCACCTTTAGTTCAAAGCGTTCTTCTTGGTTATAATGGTTGTGTTTTTGCATTTGGTCAAACTTCCTGCGGAAAAACATTTTCCATGCAAGGTATGTTAAACGATGTAAAATTTAAATAATGTATTATTAATACTTTTAAACTACAATTATCTGGGTAAGCAATAAGCACCTACTTCTAATTTAAAATTAAAAAAAAATTCTTTTATGCGAGCAATGGTCCAGCGTTTTTGTGGCGGTTTTACAAATTTTATTTTTTGTCTTTTGACTTCAATGGGGTTTACTGTTTTCCAATAACATTTTAAAACTAGCTTCCCGTTAGGCTGTGATTAACTAATAGAAATAAGGCTGTATACTAGCGAAAGTTAAAGTATGAAATCATACTTTGAGATCCCTCTTTTGAGATCTCTTTTGAGATCCATATAGATTTAAACTACAATTGTCTGGGTAAGCAAGATTAAGATTAACTAAGGTTCAGAGCAATTCAATACTTTTTTGTTGTTAACTGAGTTTAAAATATATCAAATAACTTACAATAGTAATACAACTTATTATATTAATCCCTGGTGACAAAAATTTGACGCAAAACTGAATGGCACAAAAAAAAGTTTAATGAACAAAAAATTAGTGCAGACTCAAAAAAAAACTTTCACTTTAAGGGCTGAAAGCTTTCGTTACGATATTATGTGTTAACATTTCTGCATACATGTTCGCATATACGTTGCACAAGATTTTTGTCAACAAGATTTCTTTTTTACAGTGATCTTCATTTTCAGTTTTTCAATTATTTTTATTCACATAAAATTAAAGAATAAAAGATGTTAAGAGATTTTATTCTGGGACATATGCTAGATTATCAATTTTTGTAACATAAAAAATGTTTTTCTCATCTATATTAGTCCCATTTTTAGTTAAGTCTAAAGTGACTAAGCCAAGCCAAAGTTCTCTTCATTGATGTGGTGTTTGTTAATGAATCCAATCAATCTTTAAATGACGCAATCATTATCAAAACTATTTAGTGCATTGCCACAGTAACGATAAATGGTTTATTCATATCCTAATTCACACAAGAATTTTTTCTGTTATGCATTTATATTTTCATATTTACGTTTTGTTGTGCATTTTTTTGCTTCATTTTATAAAAATACAGCATTAGAGTTTTAAATATGTATAACAAATTCAAAGTTTCTAAAACGAATTCTTGTTTTAGTTTCAATGAATTCATTTTCATATCAGCAGCCGTTGCGCAGTGGTTAGCGCGCTTGCATTAGAAGCTAGAGATCCATGCCAACTCCATAACACCATAACCGATATTATAAAATTTGCCAACTCTGGGCAAGTTTTATAACATCAATAAATAAGGAGGCGCGAACTTCCTTATAAATGCTCTTCCGTAGTACTCTGAAATAAGACCGTAAGGACTTCTTGAGGAATCTAGCGACCCAGTGGGCACGGACGTAAAAAAGACGTCTTTTAAACGTCTTATACACGTTTTGGACGCCTTTTAAACGTCTTTTGAACGTTTTGGACGTCTTTTGAACGTTCAAAAGACGTCTTTTTTAGGTCCGGTGCCCACTGGGGAATAGCTAGTTAAATATAAGTTTCTTAATACAAAACACTGCATTTATTGTAAACAGAAATAGAAATGGCTCAGTTTTATATATATATATATATATATATATATATATATATATATATATATATATATATATATATATATACATATATATATATATATATATATATATACATATATATATATATATATATATATATATATATATATATATATATATATATATATATATATATATATATATATATATATATATATATATATATATATATATATATATATACATATATATATATATATACATATATATATATATATATATATATATATATATATATATATATATATATATATATATATATATATATATATATGTATATATATATATATATATATATATATATATATATATATATATATATATATATATATATATATATATATATATATATAAAACTGAGCTATTGTGTTGTGAGCATAATAATAATAATAGTGTGTGTGTGTGTGTGTGTGTGTGTGTGTAAATTGTGTTAACATGCTCTACAAAAGAGTGCTTTATGTGCCTAAAAATTAGATCAAATAAATATCAAATTATATTTAAGATAAATATAACAATAAAACTAAAAAAACTTTTAAAAATAATTAAGACATAAAAGTATTTTCTTTTGTAATGAAGGAGTACAAAAGCCAGCTTCTCAAAGAGGTGTTATGCCACGTGCTTTTCAACAGATATTCGAATGCATTCAAACAACCGATGTCACTTATTATCTTGTTCGAGCATCTTATTTAGAAATATATAATGAAGAAATTCGTGATTTGTTACAAAAACAAAACCACCATAAGCTTGAAGTGAAAGAACATCCGGAAAAAGGTATATTTTTTTTATCTGAAAAATACTTGTCGTTACAAGGTTCAGGTAAATACAACCAAAGTTTTTATAAAACAATGTGTGAACTTGCAAACATTTTTAACTAAAAATACGTTTATATGAATTTTTTTTTAATCAATCTTTTATTGTTATGAATCAAGTCAAGTTTAAACGTTTTTTACATCACTTAGTTTTATTGTTTATTACAAACTGCTAAGTACTTTTCTAACTTACGTACGTTATAATGCAAAAATATTGATAATTACTACTTTTTTTATATGCTATTAAATAGTTTTATTTGTCTGTAAAAGCATATCGGTAAATTTATAACATATTTACTGAAACGGATTTGCGATCCTAGTTTTATTTTATTTTACAATTATAGAACTAATTTTTATTAGGAGTATACGTAAAAGACTTAACAAACATCGAGGTGACTTGCATTGAAGATATGGAAGAAGTACTTGAAATAGGTAGCTGGAATCGTGTTTTAGGGTCAACAGCGCAAAATCCAGATTCATCTCGATCACACTGCATATTTACTGTTGAGTTTGAAATTTCTTTCTTTAGTGATCAAGACCATCAAGAACATTTTAGATCAGGTTTTTAATGTTTCTTATTTTTAACATTAGGTTATTTTTAATGTTTATTGTTTTATAAAAATAGATATTAAAAGATGATAACTACATTTTAAACAAGTAATGATAGAATACCTAATGAAAAACAGATTTTATTATAACGAGTAATTATTTAGTAATTAAAGAATAAGTGTTTAGGTCGATTAAATTTGGTTGATTTGGCGGGAAGCGAGCGTCAACGCCATTCCAAATCAGAAGGAGATCGTTTTCGTGAGGCTACCAAAATTAACTTATCTTTGAGTGCGTTAGGTAATGTTATATCAGCCCTTGTAAACGAGAAATCAAAGCACATACCTTATCGAGCATCAAAACTGACGCGTTTACTACAAGATTCCCTTGGAGGTAACTCACGTACCCTTATGATTGCCTGTGTTAGCCCTGGTGCTAACAATTACGGTGAAACATTAAGTACTCTTCGTTACGCTAATCGAGCAAAAAATATTAAAAACAGGCCTCGAATTAATGAAGATCCTAAGGATAGCATGATTAAACAATATCAAAAAGAAATAAAAGTTTTACGTCACTTATTATCTAACCAAATTAAAATATCCGGTGAAACCCCTCTGCTACCCCCTCCTATTTCTTTTGAAATAATTGAGGACAAAAAACCAAATCGCACAGCAGTTGTTATAACTAAACAAGAGAGATTAGCTTATGAGCAACAAATCTCAGGACTTCAACATAAGTTTGATTATGAACATACTTCGCGTGAAAAGTTCGAAACATCTTTAAAATCTACGAAAGCTGATTTTGAAAATTACCGGCTAAAAAACGAATACAAGATCCATAAGCTTAAAATAGAATATCAACTAAAAATAAAGAAATTAGAAAAACTGCTACAACTAACAAAAGACGATGCAAGTGATGAATCAGCTTACGTATCCAACGACAGCGACGAAACGGAAAACATTTGCCCATACTTTAGTTATAAAAAAGACAAAAGCACTTTACTTAGTCCTGTTACTGAAAACTCTCACTTATGGAGTTATCAATGGTTAAAATGTTACTGTGATTCTAACGGCAAGACTATGAGTAAAAACGTTTTTTTAACTTCACAGTCAAACAATCAATTTCACTGCATATGCAGTGAACAAATTAAAAAAAATTTAACGAATGAAAAAGAAAGTCAAACTTGTCAGATTTGCATTAGAAGGTTAAAGTTAAGCAGCATTGATTTCAATAATATTGACTATAACAACATAGATTACAGCGATTCTGTCAGTTTAGTGACTTCTCAACCTAGTTCTATAGATGAAGATTTTCACAGAAAAGAGCTTGAACAG